TTTGTGGTATATTCTTGTCAGAGTGGCACTAGGTAACCAGAACACCAGCCTTTCTTCCAAGGTGCCTCTCAAACCTCCAACTTTTTAGCTAGTGCTCAAGTACATTAACCATTTGCACCACCCAGGGACTAACAGTAACATTAAGCAGGTGCTCAAATGTTAGCTGTTACTTGATTGATATTCTATTTCATGTGGCTTATAAGGAAATAATCGTACTATAGTGTATGTGTGGAGCCCTTTTGTGTTAACATGCTCAGCTATTTATCAAAAGATTGGAGGTTCAAATCCACCCAGAGGCTCCTCAGAAGAAAGGGCTGGTGATCTACTTCAGAAAAATCAGCCATGAGTTGGAATCGACTCATTGGCAAGTGAGATTTTTGTTTGTTTTTTAAATAGCATACATATGTAACAGAAAAAAAAAATTTATATGGGTGCACATGATCAAGTAATTACTGACAGGGAGATGATTCAAAAGTTGTGACTGCTGACGCATGACATGCTGAAGTCAACATGGGAGCCACGAAGGTGATTCCAGTGATCTGGCCTCCAACTGGAAGTACTTTCAAAGTTCACTGAGTTCATCTTGTCCTAATGGGGAGATGTTCTCTTTGTCCCCCAATCTGTTGTGCTTACTGTGCCTTCTGTATCCTTGACTTCATCTGCTGTTCTCTTGGCTGGGTTTCCTACTTTAGCTCCTGCCCCAGGGCTGATCCATAGTCCCTCTAGTAGTAGAATGCCCTGAAAGTATTTGTAGTTGCATAAGGTAAACAGGGACTGACTGGGCAGGTGGGTTGGTGGCTTATTTGACATGCAGAATAAAATGCCAGTGTGTTTTTTGTTTTGATTTATTTCCCTACAGCTACTCTGCCCAAGACTTGGCTGGCTCTAGGATAGGTGCCTTCTCCTATGGCTCTGGCTTGGCAGCCAGTTTATTTTCACTTCGTGCTTCCAAGGATGCTTCTCCAGGTGAGTCCCGTCTTTCCATCAATGCACTCATGACAAGATTCATCTGGTGAAAGAAGCCGTCTTCCTCCTCCCCACTATGGAAGCTTACATCTTGATGGAATTATATTGTGATTGGGAGCAAGGAAAATCACTGAAGGGACCTAAACATGGAGTAATTTTGTCTAATTTATGTTTTTAAAGCACATCCTTGGCTACCACTTAGAGAACAAAGAGGAACAAAGGTGGATATGGGTAAATCAGCAAATAGTCTAAGCAAGAGATGGACTTGTTAAGGTGGTGGTTTGGTTGCAATTGGTTAAAGAGAAGTTGATGAATTTGAAATATCCAGTAAATATTTGCTGATTACTTCATGATTAATGCAATCAAGGACACACATCTATGCCCTATGTGGAATATACTTTGACTAGATGAGGGTGCCTGCCTAGATGTTTCGATAGCATACATTATGGTTGCTTGCCTTTATTATTTCTTAATATTCTAAGCCTCACACAAAGCACTTTCTCCAGGGTGTGAAAACTCCCACAGAACCAGGCAATTGGTGATGGGTAGTGACAAAATGTTGGGCAATCCTACTTCCGTAGTGATATTGCCTTGGAAACCCAAGGAGGGGTCGCTATGAGTCAGGGCCAACTCAACGGCAAATAACAACAACAACAGTGACAATGACACTAGTTAAGCATCTCACTTTTCCTTCCCAGGTTCCCCACTTGAGAAACTGGTGTCTAGTGTATCAGATCTGCCAAATCGCCTAGCCTCCAGGAAGCGTGTATCTGCTGAGGAGTTCACAGAAGTAATGAACCAGAGAGAGCAGTTTTGCCACAAGGGTAAGAAAAGGGGCAGGGCGAGAGAAGGAGAAGGCAATTCATCTCAGATTCCATGCCAGTAGCTGGGAGCCAGGGGACAGTGGTAGTTCAGTGGTAGAATTCTTACTCTCTATGCAGGAGACTGGGGTTCCCTTCCTGGCCAATGCCCCTGACATGCAGCCACCATTCATCTGTCGGTAGAGGTTTGCATGATGACATGATACCGAACAGGTTTCAGCAGAGCTTCCAGACTCAGACAGATAGGAAAAAGAGCCTACTTCTGAAAAATTAGTCAGTGAAAACCCAATGGAGATCAACAATCTGACCACAACTGATCATGGGGATGGCACAGGATTGGGAGCATTCTGTTCTGTTGTACATGGGATCGCCATGAATCAGAGGCAAACCAGAAACAGCTAACAACACCAAGCTGGGAGCCAGGGGATCCAGAAGTCTAGGATATAGGTGACAATGGTCAAGACTTCTTTGAACTATGACTGGGAAAAGATCTGCTTGAGCCACAGTGTCAAGAACTGGGTAGAGAAGCAGAAGGCAGAGTTGGGAACAGGTAGGAGATGGCACAAGCTTTCCAGTACAGAAGGAAGCAAGTTTCCCCAAACAGAATTCTGGAGAATGAAGTCTCATAAAAGGCAGAAGTATGGTTTTTCAAATGACTATCTATGGGAGCTCTGGTAGTGTAGTGCCTAAGGCACTAAACTGCTAACCAGAAGGCTGGCAATTCAAACCCACCAGCCACTCCTCAGAAGGAAGGTTGGGCAATCTATTTCTGTGGTGATACTGCCTCAGAAACCCAAGGAGGGGTCACTATGAGTCAGGTCTGATTCGACGGTATATAACAACAACAACAATAACATCTATGCAACAGACAACAGAAAGAGCCCAGATATTAGAACTAGATACCCAAATCTGGACCTGACCTGGGCTGCTCACTAGCTGTGTGCCTTTGGGAAAATGATTGCACTGTTCTCAGTTGCCTGATTTCTAACAGTTTACCAACTTTGCAGGTCACCAAGCAGATTAAATCAATCACTATACATATTGCCAACACATGCTACTGTCTACTCCCAACTGCTCCCTTTCCCCACTAAACATAACAAACTGTCACCCAGAAAAAGCAACAAATGAAAAGGAAATAAAAGCCAAAGAAAAGTAGGGATAGGGAGACTGAATGGTGGTCTCAAACCTATGACAACCATATTTTCTCTAACAAAATGTGAGACACGTGGCTTGCAGTCTGGTCTGAAAAGATGATAGAACATGTGAAATTGGGAATGTGTCAGTGTTCCAGAAAACCTAGCACTAATGGTCACCAATATTCACCTGGAACAGTGGACATAATAGAGCTAACTGGAAATGCAACTGTAAAAAAAAAAATTGGAAGCAAGCCAAGTATTCATACCACAATGCGGTATAGCCACAGAATGGAATATTATTTACCATAAAGAGAAATGAAGTTCTGATACACTGTATGACATGGATGAACCTTGAAAATATTACACTGAGTATAAGACACAATAGGGCAAATAATGAAACATATGAAATACATTTCACATATGTTTCCGAGGCAATATCACTATGGAAGTAGATTGCCCAATCTTCCTTCCAAGGAGTGGCTGCTGGGTTTAAACCACCCGCCTTCTGGTTAGTAGTCAAATGCCTTAGGCACTATGCTACAAGAGCTCCTATATGAAATATCTAGAAGAGGCAAATGCATAGAGACAAAAGTTTATCAGTGGTCACCGGGGGGCGGGGTGGGGGAGAGGAAAACAGGGAGTTGCTGCTTAAGGTATACTTGAGTATCTGTTTAAAACCAAACCAAAAAACTCACTGCCATCTAGATGATGCCAACTCATAGAAATCCCCTTGGATTTCTGAGGTGATAAATCTTTGCAGAAGTAGATTCCCTAGTCTTCCTTTCATGGAGCAGCTGGTGGGTTTGGACTGCCAACCTTCTGGTAGCAGTCAAACGCCTTGGGCACTATACCACCAGAACTCCTTAGCTTCTGTTTAGAGTAATGAAAAACACTTTGAAATGTATATCACAAAATAGATAATGTACCTGTCACTGAATTATACACTTAAAATGATTTAAATGGCAAATGTTTTGTTATCTATATTTTACCACAATAAAATTTAAGTGAAAAATAAGACCTCTTAGGTAAACATTAATGGACAAAGCACTGAAATGGTACAATGGAATCAGAGCCACAGAACTTAGGGCTAGGAAGGAAATGTCTATTAGGGAACTAGATGTTCCACTTCAACCTAGAGAAGGTGCTCCGGTGGTGCAGTACCTATGGCATTTGATTGCTAACCAGAAGGTTGGTGGTTCAAACCCACCAGCCACTCTGTGAAAGGAAGTTGGGGCAATCTGCTTCTGTAAAGATTAATGCCTTGGAAACCCAATGGGGTCACTAGGAGTCAGAATCAACTCAATGGCAGTGGGTTTGGTTTATTTTTTTGGTCAACCAAGGTATTATTGGCAAAAGGATGTGATGAAAATTTTGGTAGAGAAAGGGCATGTTTACTGTAGGGAAATGTCATACTCCTAGAGTAAAAAAGTTAATAGCCAAGTCTCGAGTACCAGATCCGATTCTGATTCTTCTGCTGGTCCAGCATTCTGGACAGAGAATTAAGGTGACCTAGCAGCCCCCTTCAGGAGCTCTGGTAGCATAGTGCCTAAGGCACTTGACTGCTAACGGGAAGGCTGGAGGTTCAAACCCACCAGCCACTCCTCGGAAGGAAGATGGGGCAATCTACTTCCATAGTGATACTGCCTCAGAAACCCAAGGAGGGGTCGCTATGAGTCGGTCCGACTTGACGGCACATAACAACAACAACAGCAGCCCCTGTCAGCACCGCCCGCAGAGCTTCACCATGAAGTGGTAGCATTTCAATTACTCTTTTTCTCTTCCCCTCCACCATATAGTTGTTTTTGAATATTGCTTCTTCTCTTCATTCCACAGTGAATTTCTCACCCCCTGGTGACACCAACAGCCTTTTCCCAGGCACTTGGTACTTGGAGCAGGTGGATGAGCTGTATCGCCGCAAGTATGCCCGGCGTCCCTTCTAAAGGCGGTGAGTGAGAGTTTGCAGAATTGGGGGCATTGTCTTTCCTCTGGATGACAAATGTGATTCTGATACTCTCACCAGGCCAGAGAGGGTCCATTGCTCCCAAATTGAGGGCGCATTGCTCCCAAACTGACCAGTGGTGAGAGTTTGTACCATGAGGGTCATTGAAAAGTGGAGCAAAACTGGAAAGGAGCATGTCACTAAATCGTGAATATGAATAGAAGAGTAAGACTTGTCTACTTGATAAAATATGAAGCTTCCTTAGAAGCTCAAGAGGAACAAAATCAGCACCTATGAAAGGAAGTGGGCTGTGCACCTGAACTTGTGCATCTCATTGTTCCTAGGGGATGACATCCGTAACAAAGATGAATAAACCAAAAAAATAAAAACTAAACTCACCGCCATCAAGTCAGATCTGACTCATAGCGACCCCTCCTCGGGTTTCCAAGGCAGCATCTCTACAGAAGTAGGTTGCCCCATCTTTCTTCCAAGTAGTGGCTGGTGGGTTTGAACTGCCAGGCTTCTCATTAGCAGTCAAGTGCCTTAGGCACTATGCCACCAGAGCTCCTCCCATAAAGATTACAACCTAGAAAATCCTATTGGGCAATTCTACTCTGTCACATAGGGTCACTATGAGTCAGAATGGACTCAATGGCACAAAACAACAAGATTAAACCAGTGACAAGGAAAAAATCAAGAAGAAGCCAGGCACCATGGAGTTTAGTCTGACTCACGGTGACCCCATATGTGTCAGAGCAGAACTGTGCTCCATAGCTTTCGGCTGATTGTTTTGGAAATAGATCACCAGGCCTTCTTTCGAGGAACCTCTGGATAGATTCAAATACCATCCTGAGTGAGCACTTAACCATTTGTTAAGTGGGACTCTGGAGGCAAGGAGGGGGCTGTTAAGTATGTCAAGCATGTTCAGTCATCATAAGCAAAATGAGAGGGGTGGGGGAGAAAGAAAGATTGAGATTTGGGCTTTTCAAGGGAGAATTTCCAAATCAGACTTCATCCCTCTCATGGTGGTAAGCCTCTCCCAAGTGCTTAGGCAGCACTGGACCTATGGGATTCTTGTACTTTTCTCATGCTAGTTGTTCACATGAGTGATTGACCTACAACAGTGAGATTTTAGCTGAAATGAAGATTTGATGTCAGTGTAGTGCCCTATTGGGCTCTCCAGACCTCTGCACTGCCCCAGCCTGCCCAGCCTGCTCTCCTGTCACTGTCAGGACCTGTAAGGGGACCCTATACCCCCAGCCTTGGCTTGTGTGATATTGGGGCTAGGTGGGCAGTGGGAGCACTTAGGGGAGCCCCATTGTGCAACCACACCTCAGACAAGCAGCAGGCACTGGGGGGCAGTGTGTCCCACCACGAGACTCATGATTCACTGTCCTTCTTTTGTGTCTTTTTATTCTACAGACCCATGGAGCTGTAGAGCTTCGCCCGTGACTTTATGAAAACAATCCCCACTCTTAGCTGGTACATGGTTTGGGTGCGTAGCCTCCAGATGCATTGTCCCTGTAGAGTGAGAGGCCATTCTTACTAGATCTCCATGCCTTTCTCAGCTACAGCCTCTGTCCCCAGCTTAGGGTTATGGACCAAGGGCCCTTTCTGAGGAGAATGATGGAGGGAAGGAAAGAAGGCCTGCTCTTGAATCATGAACTCAAACTCAAACTCATTGCCATAGAGTTCATTCTGACTCATAGCGAGCCTAATTGGGTTTCTGATGCTGTAAGTCTTTATGGAAGTAGATTGCCAATCTTCCTTCCACAGAGTGGCTCGAGGGTTTGAACTACGGACCTTCTGGTTGGTAGCCAAATGCCTTATCCACTATACAACTGACCTCCAGAAATGTGATAGACCAGCTGTTTCTTCCAAGATCCAGATAACTTTTCTACCTTTTGTTATAGCTTTGTTATTTTTATTATTAATAAATTTCTGTGGTGTTCTGTCTTTGTTCAGGTTTTCTGTGGATTTTCTAAATTTTACAGCTGGTACTAAAATAACCCGACCCATTGCCTCAAGTCAATTCCAACTCATGGCAACCATGTGTGTTACAGAGTAGAATTGTTCCATAGGATTTTCTTGGCTGTAGTGCCTAAGGGATTTGACTGCTAACTAGAAGGCTGGTGGTTCAAACCGATCAGTTACTCCTTGGAAGGATGGTGGGCAATCTACCTCTGTAGTGATACTGCCTCGGAAACCCAAGGAGGGTTCTATAAGTCGGATCTGACTCCATGGCAGTGGGTTTGGCTTTTTTAATCTTTACAAAAGTAGATTACCAGGCCTTTCTTCCAAAATGCTGCTGGGCGGATTCACCTCTTAGCAGTGGAGCACAAACTATTTGCATCACCCAGGGACCTTACTAAAAAAAAATTATACTGCAATTGAAGAGTGAGACAGAGATAGTGACTTCTGGCTTCCCTGGGACAGGAACACCAGAAGATACCAGCTGACATGCAAAGAAGCCTCCAGGCTTTGAGAACCTACTCTCTCCACCCTGCACCTCCCCAAGAGATGAAATTGCTGAGCATTCACTTCATACCCTGCCTTTTCCCTTCCTTTTTCATTTAATTTCTGCCACATTCTGCTAAGTACTATGAGAGGTCCAGGGGACACAAAAATGGGGAAACACAGCTCATTTCCCCAATCTAAAGATGCAGCGTGCAGGCAGGCAGTGGTGGTTCAGTGGTAGAATTCTCACCTTCCGTGGGGAAGCCCTGGGTTCGATAGGCAGCCAATGCACCTCATGTACAGCTACCACTTGTCTGCCAGCGCAAGTTTCAGCACAGCTTCCAGACTAAGAATAGGAAGAAAGGCCTGGCTATCTTCTTCTGAAAACCAGACAATGAAAACCCTGTGAATCACAAAAGTGCTCTCCACAACTGTTTGCAGGGATGGCACAGGACTGGGAAGGGTTTCATTCTTTTGACCATGGGGTTGCCATGAGTTGGGCAGCAATTGGAGGGCAGCTAACAGCAGTAGCAAAGACTGGGCCCCCAGGGAGAGCCAACACACAGGGTCCAGAAACTGGGTCTGTAGAGGCTGTAGCTCAAACCTCCTTGATCACACCTTACCAGTGTTGGAAAAATAAACACAGGGAAGAGCTTATTTAATAGGCTAAGTTGTTCACGCCTCCAGTTAAAGACTGTTTCATTACCTAGCAAGCAATTTTTCCATTAGATGATTTTTTTTTTTTTTTTCATTTTAAATGTACTTCCTTAAAATAGAGTGTTATACTATTTCTAAGAAAGAGGAGTGATATTTTTTTTTTTTTTTTTTTTTTTTTTTTTTTTTGCCCTGTTCCATTAGGGTGCTGCTTTTGCCAGAGTCCTCATGTAATGTTTCAATAGTTTGGGAAGATGGGGATTGCAGGGGGCAAGGGGTAGGAGGAAAGAGGAAGACATTGACTGTTGTTCTTTATTTCCTCTTAGAAAGTTTTCTTAGCCACCTTGATAAGAAAAGTGCACTTTGCTAGAAACACTTCTGCACCACAGACAGTAAAGGGCTGCCATTCCCAAACCCCAACTGCAACATCACTTCAGGGGCCCTCCCCTCCCAGCAACCAGAGCTACTACTCACCACAGCAGGACACTTCCAAGACCTGCTCCAAATCTGGACAGCACAAGGACCCTACAAGCCATTAATTATTTTAATATTATCCTGGAGGTAATAGCAATAAATGGATTAACAGGATGACCCTAAAAATGGGGCTATTGAAAAAAAACTATGGGAAGACAAGCAAATAAAATGCATCTTCTCATAGCAACTTGTTCTGGTGAGCAATTTTTTCTGTTGCTGATGTCAGTGTAAGCATCCTATTGTATAAATGAGATGTCACTTTTTCCAACAGAAATAAAAAGTTCATTAAATTATCAAAAAAGAAAAAGGAAGAAAGAAAAAAAGCTCATGTTGGAGAAGAAGACCATTACAACTGGTGGGGAGCCTACCTGGTATGTGGGGGAGTCCATGGAAACAACTGGGCCTTGGGCAGGGACATGAGATGCTGCGTCACCCACTTCACTCTTTTGCACAAGGCTGTCACATCATCCAACAGCAATTCTCAGATAAACTCCAACTGGGCAGCTAAACCAGCATCACTTAAGTCTCTTCTCCAGCCCTCTGTCAAGGGGCTTGTGGAAAGTCCCACTGTATCAGCTACAAGTGTTGTTTAGTAGCTCTTCTTTGCTAATCCCCTTGCTGTCTGGCTCCCCTCGGCAAGCTGTTTTGGGTGCTCAAACTGGTTGTTGTTCCTGGCAGGATAACATATGCCTTTCCTAAGATCTCTGGAATTTGGCTGAATTCTTGGGAGAAAAGCCCATATTCACCTTGAATTCTTGAGATCCAAGATATTAGGTCTTGTCTTCTGTCCACAAAGGAGCTCATTGTAGGATCTCAGTCCTGAAACTTGCCTCTTCCCCATCTGGGTACCTGCCTCCATCAGACTTAGCAACCATATCACCCAATGCTGGAGCTTGGGCCTCCCTCTACTGCGGAGTCATTTGGACACAACACAGGGTTGTCAGAGTATCAGGATATTGACCAATGGAAGGGATGCTGGCCATAGCCCTGCATTCCAGCTGTACCTCAGCCCTGGCTCAACTGCAAGGCACTCAGGATGACATTGATGATTCAGTAACAATACACACAGAGGGTCCTGGCCCCCTTCAACATCCTTCCTTACCAAATTTTATAGAGCCCAGGCCTTATGGAATGAATTATGTCCCCCTAAAATGTGTGTTGTAAGTCCTAACCTCTATGCGTGTGGTTATAACCCCATTTAGGAATGGACTGTCTTTGTTTTGTTAGTGAGGTAGGATTAGCATGAGGTATATCTTGAGCCGATCTCTTTTAAGATATAAGAGATTAAACAAGCAAACAGAGAAGAGATGCCAAGACACACAGGGAATCAAGTGACCAATACAATAACACTAAGGAAAATTAAGACACAGGGAGGCACACAAGAGGTACAGACAATAAAGACAAACACTTTTACAT